CTTAAGGGCTTAATAAAGTGATTAAAACTTTATATATAAACAGTGTAATATTTTCTAAAATTTTTAATAAGATATTTGTTTAGTCAAAGCAATTGTCTTAAAGTAATATAAACTTATTTATTAATTTGGAGTTTTATAATTTATTTTAAACATAAAATAAGTTCAAAATGAAATTAGTGCTCATTTTGGGATTTATAGCATTGAGTAGTGCTCTCAGTATTAGCCGCCAAGAGGTGGACAACGAATGGGAGAAATTCAAAGTAAGAGAATATTGACTCAAATTCTGTAAAATTCTTGAACTAATTCTCTAAAAATGTTTTTTTTTCATATAAATAGCATGAATATCGCAAAAACCAATACTACGCCAACTCTAATGAGGAGGCGCTTCGGAAGCAGATATTTGCGGACACCTATGACATGATTGTCAGACATAACAAAGAGGCCGATGAAGGCATCCATACCTACCGATTGGGTGTCAACCAGTTCTCGGACATCACGGATGAAGAGTACAGACAAATGTTGACATTAGACGTGTCGGCGCTGGAGGGACAGCAAACTTATGACAAGAAGCCGTACTCCATAAAAGCACAGTTACCCGAAAGTGTCGACTGGAGGGCCAAGAATGTGGTGACAGCCGTCAAGAATCAGGGATCGGTAGGTTTTATACACTAGTTTTATTAGATTTTATTAGTTATAAGCTAGTAAGACTTTTATAAAAAATCCTTTAATATAATTATTGTTATTTTATTTGAATAGGAATTTATCATAACTTATTTTAAATAACTACAATTATATATTAATAGTAATTAATATTATTATAGTTACTAATATTTACTATTTAAAATAGTAGCAATAACCAAAACAATTTATAATTATGTAAATATATTATAGAAACATATTTGAACTTTTTATAAGGATATAAAATGATTAATTTATTATACAGTATTTAAGAATTATAAATTTTGACTAATATTTATCTACCTGTCCTCCCAGTGCGGTTCATGCTTCGCCTTCGCCAGCGTTGACACGATAGAGAGCGCGCACGCCATCAAAACCGGAACTCTGGTGACCCTATCCCCGCAAAACGTCATCGATTGTATGGGCAACCCGGGTGTAT